AGATGTCCCTGGGTGTTTCCAGCCAACCAAAATGTGGGGTGGAGAATCACTGAATAAAGTTCAATATCAGATCGGACCCTCACAGTCAAAGCATGAAAAAAATAAGAGCAGGTTGTATTGCCCTTTCTGGCATAAACAGTCGTGTTAAGATGCTCAAACACTAAATAGAATAATCTTGCTAGGAATCGTGTCTGCATTGACCTGCAAACAAATCATGCTCTGATAATAAATGGTATTATCCTGGAGACTGGTTTATTGCCAGAAAGAGTTAAAACCTCTTGTTATTTTTTCATATTTCAATACTGGCAAAAAAAAGGTCCCATGTTGTAGCTGCTCACCCCCAGTCAAGTTTAAGATGATGTCCGCCATCGGAATGCAATGGTTTTGTATGCGATCACTGTATGACGTTTAATACAAAATCTCACACAGACTCAAGTTATAAACGAAGTAGGACATCGGAATACCGTATATACACTGAATCGCAGATATGATAAAATCGCACATTACCATAACGTTGATATATACGTGTAACCTGTGTGGTTATGTACTTATTAAATGGTGCATATGTCCGTGCTTCAGCATTATAAGGAGATCCTCTTTATTTCCTTTCGAACATATTTTTGACAAAGTGCTTAGGTGATGACCAGTACGATGGAGAGACGTGAACACGATCACTGATCGATTCAGTTCGGTGTGAGCGATTGTGTGCATGTTAAGTCACCGATTCTAGAATCGGCTCGGCGTGGCGCAGGGATTTGATCAGTGAGGCGTGGGGGCGTGAAGTTGACAACAGATTTGGTCGTTTCAGATACTCCAACACAGCCGTGTGCTGGAGAGGCCGGTTCAATAAACCCGCCGCGTGTGAACGGAGTCTCCTCCTGGATTCCTTGTCTACAAGCGTGGAGTGCAAGAAGATCACCCCGGAGAACTATCGGTTGTTACTTTGTCAATTATTGTTGGCCACCCCCAAGGTGACCAAGAGGACGATCACGGCCAGGAAGAACCGAGGCACAGTGGGCACGGGTCACAAACGCATAAAAAAAACTATTTACACAGTGGCTTAACATAGCAGGATGATAGGCTATGTTAATAGATTAATATAACAAAATACGTAAACATTTGACAATACTGTTGTTTTGTATGCTCTGTGCAAGGCCGTAATTATAATATATATTGGGGGGGACACATCCCCCCCAATATTCAAATATGCTCAAAATCTCCCCCCCCCCAATATATTGATATAAAAATATTTAACAATAATAATTGCTATTCTTCGACGGGCAACCACGCAACGCCGTCTGAAAAATTAATTATCAAATGTAAAAATAATCATAACTAAACTTAACAAATTGCCACTATTACCACTGGTTCTAGTATTATGGTGTACTGCAGTTCTGTCTATGGTTTGTCCAAGTTGCGTTGCCGTACCCCAGCAGAAGCCGTTGCTCGATTGCTGTGAGTAGGTACAATCAACGTCAAAGACTGTCCTGTCTCTCCATTGAATTGCTTTCAAATGTATTAAAACGTGGAAAACCAGAATGTAATGTATTAAGTATGGCTAGATCACTGTCCAGTGAAAACAAACTTTTTGGTGATTTGCGATTGCTAATAAATCAACCTTCACTAACGTTAGCTATCATAGCTAATTAGCCACACATTCACCCAGCGACCAACAATTGCGCTCATACGTGTATTGAACTAACGTTAATGTCTTTATTACGTTATATTTGTCAGAAAGCCCACGTGAAGTCTGAGTAAAGTGTCAATCATTTATGTTGCGCTGCATGTGTAATATTTGTAGACAGATTTCATTTATTGCATCATCGTATAGTATAGTTTATAGCTGTACTTATGATAAGTACAATTATTAGTGTTTCTTTGATTAAAGTGCAAGCAGTTTTATTAGAGTCAGCTTTCATTCACAGTGAGTGTCATCAGGAGCAAGAGTGCAGTGACATTCGTCAGTTTTTTGGGCAGCCTCAGAAAATAATAAAAGTTGGCAGCAGTGAGAAAATGAGTACCAGTCAGATGATAGAAGAATACAGCAGTACAAGAGATGAGTCAATATTTCTCGATAAAATTATTGCCATTCAGATCACAAATGGTTATTAATCCATTCCTGAACATCATGGCAAGAAACACCACTTGTTTACTGATAATATTTATTTCATGTTCACTCTGGTGCATTCAGAGTAAAGAGAGAGAGGGAGACAGAGCATGAGGATGCCGACAGGGCAGGGAGAGCAGGTGACATGGAGGTGAGTGAAAAAAGCAGCAAATAATGATGGTTAAGACCGAATTACATCACAACAGTATAATGCTAATGTTAATTTAAGCTGAGATATTCCTCTAAGTATGGCTTCTCGTGTGTATTTCAGATAATACAATCAAGCAGGGAGAGTGGGAGGGGAGGAGCTTGAACCTCGCCCAAATCAGCCAAATGTGAATGTCATACCTAGCCAAACCCTATCAAATAGGACTCTACTTTCAGTAGAAATGGTTTAAAGATTATACTTGGCTCCATTACAGCCCCTCCTTAAAGGGGGGTCCTCTGTTTCTATTGTGCTAAATACTTTGCAACACGAATGTCTAAGCTTGCGTCAAAAGCAGATTCAGCTTTTGTCAAGACTGGCTTTCAAATATGGAAGGCAGTGTCGCAAATTAGCTGTGATGACTCGGATTCAGGAACCAAAACCTGTTGATGTGCAACTTTCACGTGAGCTTGAGAGACAGCAGCAACAAGCAAGGAGAAATATTATGAGGATTGTTGGGGTGTGAAGTACTTGGCACGGTAAGGTCTGACTTTTCGAGGCATTGATAAGTAGAGTGGGAATTTCAGCCAGCTTCTAAAGTACAAGGCAGAGGGCGATGCAGAGCTGACCACCTGGCTGAAAGGTCACTTTTATTTCACCAGTCCCCAAATGCAAAACGAAATTTGAAGCTGGTGGGCAATACAATCGTCAAATAAATTGTGTTGGAAATAACATCAGTGCCAGTGGTCCAGTTCACACTTATAATTGATTGCACCCAGAATATATTAGAAGTTGAGCAGGAGTCAATATGTTTGCGCTTTGTAGATGCAGATATACAACCAAAGGAATAATTCCTGAGACTCTACGAAGTGTCATCAACGACAGGGAAAAATATAGCCAAGATGGCATGTGATGTGATGATGCGTCTAGCCCTTCCTTTGTCCCAATTGGAGTACAAATCTATGACAGTGCGGGCAAATATGGCTGGACGATTGCAGGGGGTGCAAGCCATTTTAAGGAAAGAACCGCTGGCTATGTATTGTCACTATGGTCCACACTGCCTGAACTTAGTTACGCAGGCTGCCTGTGTAGCCTCTCCACTAGTAAGATAATGTGTCTGGTGCATTAATTGGGGGGCTTCTTTAATCAATCTGGCAAGTTCAAGGTGATTTTCCAAGAAATCGCAAAATCAGAGCATGGTTGGTTCAATGGTTGCACCTCATTGAACCCTCTCTGTCCCACCAGGTGGACTGTTCGCACTCCTGCCATCCGCTCAGTTCTCAGCCAGTATGAGTCAGTGCTGACAGCCCTTGAAGATATGGTATCATGCAGCTCATCTGACACTTCAACTAAGGCCAATGGTCTTCATGGAACATTTCTAAAAGGGAACACTGTGCTCGGCCTTGTGATGGCTGAAAACCTGAAGGGGGAGTTAGAGTGCCTGAACACCTCCCTGCAGCCTAAGAAGCAGACTGTTTCAGGCATGTTGGAGGCTGTGGACCATGTCAAAACAAGCATACAGGACAAGCGAACGGAGAAGCACTTTGATGTCTTGTTCGCAAAAGCAACTGCTATGGCAACAAAGTTGGACCTACAACCTATTCAGATGCCTCATATCCGCAAACCTACAAAGCGTTATACCAGTCAGGCTGCAGCCCATATCCATCCGGATGCCCAGTCTTTGTACAGAGCCCAATTCTACAACGCCTTGGACACAGTGAATACTCAATTCATAGAGAGGGTTGATTAAGCTGGATTCCACAACCTGCAGCAGCTTGAAAATGTGCTGCTACACGGAGACATGGACAAGGTGGTATACGAGTCTCCTGAATTGAATTCAAGACCACTGCAGGTGCAGCTGGCCATGTTTGGGGCTAATTACAAATATCAAACGAGCTCAGATGTTGCCAGAATTATTAGGGAAATGGTGCCAGAGGTGAGAGGTCTCTTCAGTCAGGTGGAAGCTTTAGTAAGGCTTCTGCTGGTCGCCCCTGCCTCCTCTGTAGAGGCTGAGAGGTGTTTTCGTGCCCTGAGGAGGCTGAATACATGGCTTAGATCTTCGATGAGGCAAACAAGGATGAATAATGTGGCCATGTGTCACGTGCACCTGTTGACACTGGACAGACTGGACCTTGAACGAATATGCCAGTCTTTTATCGGTGTCAACGACAAGCGCAAAAAGGCCTTTGGATCCTTTGCTTGAAGAATGTCAAGTCAAAACACTTGTCATTGCCTGGAAAGGAGACGAGAGGAGAGGAAATCAGAGGAAAGGAGCAGAAATGACTGCAGGGCAGGGGAAAGGAAAAGAGATGACTGGAGAAGAGATGAGAATATAGGACCAGAGGAGAGGAGGAGAGAGCGCTGGAGAGGAGAAGAGAGGAGAGGAGAAGAGAGGAGAGGAGAGCAGAGCAAGCAGAGCAAAGCAAACGCTCCTGCTGCTCACCCAAGTTTACATATAAATATGTAAATATAAATAACAATTTGCTAAACCTTGTTCATATGATTGTGGTTATTGTTGTACGTGATGAATTCATAATCTCGGCCAATACATACAATGAAACAAGAAAAGGTAAAAAAGAAAAAACAGAGCAATGTAATACAATACACTATTAGACATTATTGTGATTTTTTTAAATATTTTAGGCAGAAAATTAGTTTTCAAAATTAGATTTTTTTTCTGGGTTGGGACCCCAGACCCCCTGGAAGCTTCGGTCCCCCCCCCCAATGTTCACTACATGACTACGGCCTTGGCTCTGTGAACAACGGAATTTAATACAAATGCCGTGGTGCCGTTGCGATGCTCAAGTGATCAGCTGGCCGCCTGTTTTGTTGTACAGTACTCCATGGTGCACATTAATGTTGCCGTTAGTCATGGACCAAGCGTGCATCGAGTGGTGAGAGTGAGTTGTGTCTGTGGTCTGGAGGAAGGGGGCGTGGCTGGGCTGAGCCCCTCCTCCTTCTAACCAGCCCTCCCCCCCATCATCTTATTGACATCGTCGTTAATACTTTTAACTCTAATCATCGTTAATATTAAAGGTATGTAAAGTTAATGTTACGTTCAATTACGTTTTATCATGTTACTGTGTAATGTACCATACACAGAAACATAGTTTAGTGAATAAACAGACAACTTAGTTAAGCTGTGGCGAGTCTGACCACACCCGTGTTTCCCTTAACCCCCTACAACCCATAGGCCCCCTGTAACTTTACCAACCCCGAGGGTTTTCAGGAACCTGAACCCACGCGGTTGGCCAGGGAGTTACTCTACATACATACATACAGGGGTCGCATGGGAGACCGCTCTAATAGGAGCCTCTCATCTCTAACGACGAGCGTCTGAGTACGGCAACGGGCATATTGCGAGACTTTCGCACAGCACGGCCATTGCAGGGTACAGCTCTCGATCAAATTGTCCGTGAAATCGATGCAGCAGCGACATGGAGTCGGCGCTGTAGAATGACAAGACGCCCGCCTCCCAGTCCAGGTGAACCCCGACTCTTTTGGGAGCATCTCGCACCGACAGTTTTGTTTCCGTCTTGTTATGTACCGCCGTGTAGTCGTCCAATTTCCTCAGGCTCCACGAAACTTCATTGCACCCAATTTTACAGGCTTTGTCATCACCTTTCCGTGGTATCGCGTCATACGTGACACCGATGACGAATTTCTCAGAACTTCTCACGTCCACCTCCCAGTAGTGGCGACCCGATGAGAATTTGTCAGAGCAAATGACCACTCGGTAGTGGTCGAACCGGTCTGAGTTGTCAGGGTAATGTTGGGCGCGTGTGGAGGTCCTGACGGTTTTAAAGTCGGCAGAAATCTGGAGGTTCCGATGTGCCGTGTTTGGGTTCAGAGTCGGCGAGCAAGTACCTGTAAATGATAATAATGCAAATATTGTGTTAAGCGAACATTGTTTACTTTTGAGAAATAAACTTTGCAATTGGCAATATATCAGTAAGAAGTATAAGTGGATTCATCTTCATCTGGAATCCATCTATATGGGGATTACGTGTTACCTGCTTCATACTTATTGTTTGGTGTTAATGTATCTCGCTGACCCCGTGTCCCTAGTGGACATCTGTGACAAGTGCTTCATAGCTCATCGGAGTCCTCATCCAGGATAAAGATTCTGATACTCGTAGGTTTTCTCCACGTACTCCAGTTTACTGCCACAAAGCATGAACACCTTTTTGCTTAACACGGCGCTTTTCAGCAACGCATCTAGCATGCTAAACGATGGCTTATTGCACTGCATTATGGGTTCACATCTCATACGGATATCTTTCTTTATCGTACATCAACACTAGAGATGAGTGACAAAGATGATGCATTAATACACTCAGCAATGCACGTTGTGTGGCGTGTACAGCATATCACGTACACGATTCGCTCCTCATTTTCAGGAATGCCTCTTGCTTTTCACAATGTTCACACAGAATCCCTTTGAGTTGCGGGCTCTCTTTCTGCTTGCGATTGAGACGGCTTATGATGAAGTCAGCTCGTGCTGACGCGCGGGGTATCGAATATACTTCTGAGAGCTCGGATTGTGTGATGAGACCCTGGACGAGCAACTCGTGGTGTAGCATTGCAGGGATCGTACCCATCAACTCTCGTGTCACCGGAGGTTCCTCCCTCCTCGTTCTGAGCAATGCATCTTTCCTCTCACCCTTCTCTTCATCGGTGTTGTTTGTGCGATGGTCTCCGCTGTTTGAAAAGTGATCACAAATCTGAATGTCTTCTCTGCTCTCATCCACAGTCAGGTTCTTCAATGATTGAGCTGTTAAACATATTTGGAGGAATAAACAAAACCAAATTTGAGTTCTAATATTGCGATTGTTTAATGCCTTCGTCACGATTATCATCATCATACGTAAATTTTAAGTCATTGCTGGGAGGTCTCCCCAAGCCACGACCATTTATTATGGTCCTGCGCTGAAATAAATTTCACTGTCACAATATAGTTTAACATGTAAGCTGATATCACTCCTTCTCCGTCTCTGTCACCAACAGCCCTCAATGTGCCCACAGCCACTCTTTGCTTTATACATTCTATTTATATCTCCCAGTATTATTTAGAACAGCCACCTCCTCCATCACTTTTTGTAAATCTTAGGCTTTTTTGCTTCATTTCCACTTTCATCTTTTGGCATCTTTGCTCCCGATTTTAGAATTAAATTGAAAAAGAAAAAATTCGAAATCAAGACTCGATACAAAATTTCAGAGAATTGGATGTTGTTGATGTCTTATTTGTTTGATATTGAGACAATCTGCCGTGTTCGCTTCCCAAGTGGTGACACAAACATTGCCGCAATTTTCAGGAACCACCACTGTTTGTTCTACAGAAATACAGAGCTCCGATATACCCTCGCTCCCAGCTCCACGCTCTACTGCTATAACCTCGCGTCTAGACTCCCTCGCCTTCACTCCTCCCGCCACACACAGACAAAGCAGGGTGAATCAGGGCCAAATCACCTCCACGACCGACCCATAGGAAGTGGGTGGTCACTCATCCAGCAGTGGATTAACAAAGGGGATGTTCACGTGCTCTACTGCTGTGGCTCCATCGCCTGCATGCACAATATTTTTTTCCTTCTGCGTATGAAAACACTCCAAGTCAGTGTCAAGGATTCCCTATGCGTGACACGCCCTTGTACTCACCTTCGTAAATCGAGACTGAGCCCGACTTCACCTGCATAGCCGGACAGAGCGGCTCACTTGGAATGTCATCAAATGAGTGCAACAGCTCCATGGTGATGGCGTTGTAAAACGAAAGTTTTCCTGCGTTAAAGTCCAAGCGAACGCCGACTCTCTGCAAAAGCTGAACATCTGTAATGGTTTTGCGTTGTTTGTCATGTGCTGCTTTGAAATTAAAATCCCATTGAACGAACGCCCAAGAGGACTCGTTCCAGCCCAGCCTGCCAGACTTTTCGTGACAATTCCTCGGAATCGACTCACGTGCGACGCCTATAGAACAATTTTTAGAGGCTCTCACGTCCACTTCCCAGTAGTGGTCACCCGACGAGAAGTTATCAAAGCAGAGGACTATTGGCCACCTCTCACACCTCTCTGCATGATCAGAGTAAGGCTGCTCTTCCTTTTTCCACGTCACTGTGCTGAGATCGGCAGAAATTTGAAGATGTCGATGTGCCGAGTTGGGGTTCAGAGTGGGCGAGCACAAATCTACAAGATAAGCAAATCATCGTGTAAATCTTTACAATCACGACTCAGTTTTTCATTTTTCATCATCAGCCATGATTAAGTGGTCGCCATGAGAGGCAAAGCTGCACCTGGATATTTTGTGCCCATGGCACTGCTGGTGGAAGGATCTCGACTAGAAGCAGCTTCAGAGCCCCCTCTTGAGGATAATTGGCTCTCCCTTCCAAGCTGATTACATTTGCCACAGTGGCTAGGAGATATTAACTACCTCGCCTGGTATGCATGAGATAGCATGTTCAATCCCGACCCTGACTCCTATTTTATATGTGGAGTCTGTGTGTGTGTCTCTCTCTCTCCCCGTGGATTTTTCTCCACATTCAGAATCAATATTACACGTTAAGAGCATTAGGCTGCTATAAATATCCACATGATGATATTAGATAGTTGGTTGATCTATCATTTATGATGGCCAGGTTGCTTCTGAAAAAGAGCTACTCCATAGCAGCTCAGTAGGGCTTCACTCGGTAAAATTAAATCGTTTAGTTTAAAAAAATAGTTATTGTTTAGTTTACTCAACTACCGGTGACCACTCATTGTGCTCTAGCCAGGGGTATTGCCTCATCGTGTACCAAATCATTTCACCGTGGCAGCATCGGAGCACGTGGTGCCATGCCGTGTTGCTCGAACATTGATTTTCGAGGCTCCCAGGAATGCAAGCGGACAATTGAGAAATACTAAGCTTACGTTTTACGAAATGTATTCAAACTATTGCATTGCCCAAAGCTACATCGAACTACGGATGTATGTTAATGTAGGCATGGAGCTACTGCTGGTGATTATATCAGCTCACGTGCGAGTGCTAAGTGGATCGTTGCATAGAATGGTCGTGGGAGGTATTGGAGGCATAGAGAGGCTTGGGGAGACCTTCATCCAGCAGTGGATTGACCTTGGCTGATGATGATGTAAAGGGGATAAGTATGATATCTATCCAGGGTCCAAGGAGATTTGCCTAAATTAGTCGGTTTTCCTGCTTGAGTGAGACGCTGGGATTGTTGGTGTCTCTTTAGTTTTGGTGACATTTATGTATTTTATTATTATTTAACTTTCTGTGTATGTTCATATGCTCGGTAATTGCTACATATAATAGGATTTGTACAGTGCTGTGGGATATAATTAGCATGAATATCGCTGTATTAAATACAATTATTAATATAAAGTGCTCCGACATGAAAAAAGTGAAAAAAGTCTATGTTTAATGGATTGCAACGCTGACGAGAGTGTAAAGTGTACGCACGGCACGACATCAGCATGTCCAGGAAATGCCGTTCCCTGCTCCGCTGTTGTTCGAGTGTCTCCAGCAGCTTTCGGTGTTTGCCGCCACCTCGTCTCATGACGGGCAACAGGATTGAGTCCGCGCGCTTGGCGGCGTCGGGAATTGTAAACGCCCTCCAGTACTCCTCTTCTGTAACCACATTCCTCCTCTTCAGCTCGTGCAGGAAAAGGGAGGGAGTTTTGGTGATCCGCTGTCGCAACTCTGGCAACTCCATCTCGACGTCCTTCCAGTTGCCTTTATTTCCTTGCGAGATCATTTTACTGATGAAATCCTCTGCGCTTTGCTAGAGTAAAGGCATGGCAAGTGAATTATCAGCAATGACCAGATCATCATCATCACGCACAACACGGCTGACCAATAGGGAGCCATCCCTCGACCACACCTGAGCATCGATAAGCCTCCCATTTTACCTTAACCAGATGGGAATTCCTCTGGTACAGCGATGGAATGCCCAAGTATGGAAAAGGTCTCCACAACTGATCTCCCCGACTGATCTCCCCGTAGAATGCTGGACACTTTCTCCACACCCCCCTCCCCCAATATATATAAGCTACCACTCTACACCACCATCAGAAAGCACCTTCAAGGGTGGACACCGAGAATTCCATCCCAGCACCTTGACAACACTTCAAGCACCTAAAGTCCCCCTCCTCCCCTCCCCCACCGCCTTTCTGAACCCTCCCCCACCACCTTTCTCCAGAAAACCATGGATCCATTGTGTCGGGGCTCGCGCGCTTACCACAGTAATAAAAAAAAAACACAACAACAAGAGAGGAGGATAGACTTAGTAACGTGGAATGACTTACATTATTTTCATAATGACTGGAGGTATTACTGCGCAGCGAATTAGTTCTCAACAGCTGCAAGCACATAAGGAGGGGGGGAGGAAAAGTACATGATAACAAACAAAAAATATGAACTTTTATTTAGCAATCAAGGCGCTTCATAATGAACATACATTCTACATGTAGCAGTAACCCCGTCTTGCTCGTCGGTAATATCACGTGAACATTGATTCCAATCACAGCCAGTCGCCCGACTTCTCACTCTGTTCAAATACTCAATTGCTGCCCCGGCCGCCCGCATCAACACGTCAACTTTCATATTCTTAGTTTTTTCGGTAAAGTCACGTTGAAGAGAAACAACAAAATAATAAAATATATATAAAACAATAAAAAATTCTCACGACGTTTCGACCATAACTCAAACGGTCATCTTCAGGTGTGTTGGTTTGCATAAATTTATTTTTAAACGGCGCATTTATTTATTTATAAAAAAACGTTAGCGTCACGCGCAGCAATTTGGCAGTTTACCCAGGACTAGTCCATCTATATTTTGAAAAGAGGAGGGGGGAGACGAAATTGTTTTATAATGTATGCTGTCTGAAAGCCAATGTAAGCGTGAACAATCAATTAAGAACTGAAATGGTTTATCAAATCTTTCCAATGATTGCTAAGATAGAATCCATCTTCTCGGTTGAAATTGTCTCTGTGCTTGTATATGTGGATAGCCTCATGAACGAATCTCTCATGGAAGCCAGATGGCTTACAAAGAACCTCTGTCTTGGAAAAGTCAATGTCATGTGAGCCTACTGAATTAGAACAATGATCTGCTACGGCCGAGGTGTTGGTCCTACCGTGTTTAAGGTCTGCTTTGTGTTCACGAATGCGGTCCGAGACATGGCGTTTGGTTTCTCCAATGTAACTACTACCACAGAGGCAACTTAGTTTGTAGACACCAGGGTATTGTATGTCCGGAATCACATCTTTTACAGACGGAACCAGATCACGGATTTTATGTAATGTGTTGAAACGGACCTGGATCTTGTGTTTATTCAAGATTTTGGAGATCTTTTTTGTGATCCCAGCAATGTAGGGTAAAGTGATGGTTTTGAAAGGCTCCTCAAGAGGGTTCTTCTTCATGGTTTGAGTGTTAGCTTTGCGGATTGTATAGTCGGAGTAACCATTAGCCCTAAGAGCTTGGTGTACGTGCTTGAGTTCACTGCTTATGTGTTCCTGGTCGGATATGCATTGGGCTCTATGATACAGAGTCTTGATGAGAGAATTCTTCTGTGATGGATGGTGGTGGGAATCCGGTTTCAGATAAGCATCCGTATGGGTAGCTTTCCTGTAGACAGAGTGGCTCATTGAACCATCAGGTCTCTTTTTGATTAGGACATCCAAAAAAGGTATCTTGCCATCTATTTCGACTTCCATGGTAAATCTGATGGCTGGGTGTATGGAATTGATGTGGTCGAAGAATTGGTCTAGAGCAGGCCGGCCATGTGGCCAGATTTCGTCTCCCCCCTCCTCTTTTCAAAATATAGATGGACTAGTCCTGGGTAAACTGTCAAATCGCTGCGCGTGACGCTAACGTTTTTTTTATAAATAAATAAATGCGCCGTTTAAAAATAAATTTATGCAAACCAACACACCTGAAGATGACCGTTTGAGTTATGGTCGAAACGTCGTGAGAATTTTTTTATTGTTATATATATATATTTATTATTTTGTTGTTTCTCTTTAACGTGACTTTACCGAAAAAACTAAGAATATGAATTACTGCAGTCACGAAAGCTTTAAATCAAAATTTACATCAACTTTCATCAACAATGTAGCAAAAGAAACAGCCACGTCTCTCTCTCGCTGTCCTCCTCCTCCATTCTCGAGCCTTGTAACCCTCCTTGGCCTCCTCGCTCGCCTCTCTCGTCCATGTCCACCCCCCTACAGGAACTGTCTCCATAGCGACCCTGCCTCATCTCTTTCCCCCCCATGCTCTCCACCATTCTCGGTCATTGTGCATAACATATGAACCTAATGGCAGTCCCGAATATACAGAAGTCAAAATCGTAATTAATTTATTTATTTTTGGAGACTCCATTCCACCGCGCACACAAACGCCGCGACCAACCAGAAATCAATCCTCTCATTCTTCACCAAGCGCCCATCGTTGCCAAAATTGCCGTAGTCATAAACAAAACTTTGAAACTTTGATTAGTGCATCGTGTAGAGCTCGTCGAGAGGAATAGATTGCCGTAACTTTCTCCTTCAACAGACATAAAATGACATCGCAATGCAGTTTATGTGAGAGCCGGAGGCTTATTGGACCGCGGGGTCCCGCCATAAAGATCAAATGTACATTTTTTTAAGGCTTCGTTTTTTGTTCCAAACGTTTTGGTAAACGTTGATCTTACATTGCTGCTGTGCGTTGTAGCTACCACACGGCAGGCTGTTTTTTTTTTTACCAGTGTCGAGAACCACCGGTTAAACACACAAAGCGATCAGCTGCCAATTGTACATCTTGCGTTGTAAATCGTGGCATTGCTCCATCATCACTGAACACACCGTGACGCGAAAGATGCTCGCGTGAAGATATGCCGAGTGCTTTGATTGTAGACGAAAATACAACCGTACAATTTGGATCAACATTTTTTTAAAGGACAATCACGGTAGGAACAACGAAGGCTAATTGCCTTAAATGAAGGCAATGATAAAACATTCCACGTGTAATGAGTCCACGAGACGAAGGTTGAGACGACACAGCTCCTCTTTGTTTTCTGCATGATCTCACGCTGATTGCGAACTACTCACCTCCCAACTCTGCCTGAAAGAAGCCCTCCATCGCCGCACCTCATCCGGTGACGTCACCACTCCCCTCGTGGGCGTTCCCTCTCTCTCACGCCCCGCCCTCTCTTTCCCTTTGTCCGTGACGTCATCTTTAACAGTAACCTGGGATCCCGTGGGTGTTTCGACCCCAGGATCGCGTGTATGGAAGACAGGAAACATACAGAACGTGCAGGGTAGATTGCCAGAACTAGGTGGGTAAATGTTAATTTACTCAATCAGCCACTCACTCACCCACTCACTCGCTGACCCACTCACTCACTCAACCACACATCCACTCACTCAACCATACCCACGCACCCATCCAC